GGTGACAATATCAGACTTTGGAAGCAGAAAGATCCAGTCCTGACCAAACTGAAACAGGTGGTGACGCTGGGGGAACCAAAGGGCTGACACAACCAGAATTGGAACCTTTTTGGACCCAGAGAGTCCAGATCACAGGAGAAGATGGGGATATTATTATGGAGAGCAAGAGTGATTGACTGGAGCAAAGATCGCTGCCAGATACTGGCTGAACTCCTCCAGAATCATCCAGGAGTTTCGTAAATGAAAATGTTGATGAGAAGTTATGTTTGGTGGCCAGGATTAGATGTAGACCTAGACCCCTTGGTGGGTCAGTGCTCAGAGTGCCAACAAGATCAAAAATTAACACCACCAGTTCCCCCACATTCTTGGGAGTGGCCGAATGAACCCTGGACTCAATTACACGTCGACTGTGCAGGTCCTTTCATGAGCTCAGTGTTCTTAGTCGTTGTGGACACCCACTCAAAGTGGCTGGATACGCAGAGTTCATTCGATAAATACAGGGATGATAGAAAAAATTGTGCATATCTTTTGCAATACACGGACTCCCAGAAGTGTTAGTCACGGATAGCGGGCTATCATTTATTAGCAGGGAATTTGAACATTTCCTAAAGTCAAATGGTATTCAACATAAGGACAGCTCCATTCCATCCGTCATTCAATGGTCTTGCAGAAAGAGCAGTCCAAACTTTGAAGGCATGCTTAAAGAAACAGCCTACAGCTTCACTAGATATCAAACCATCCTTGTTCCTATTTGATTATAGGACCACCCCTCATTCAACTACAAAGATAACTCCAGCAGAGTTGCTAATGGGAAGAAAACTCAGCACCACATTAAATTTGATCGTACTGGGGAGGTGAAACGATATCAGGATCACCAATGCCAGACACAAGACTTCACCAAGCCAGAGAGATAGAGTTTACCTCGGAGGAGAGTTTGGCAAAGGTAAGAGGCATGGGTGACACGAGGTCAGATCCTGAGGTGTATAAAGTTCAGGTAGGTGCAATGGTCCTGAACAAGCATGTGGACCATATGAAAACTGCAAACTCATGAACGGCGCAGAGCAAATGTACCCGGCTCCTTGACAGCCTTTCCAACTGTCCCTGAACTGTGTGTTCTCCCTTTCTGTCAAGCGTTGAAGATACCTCTGAATCGGAGATGGACACCAGCGGATGTCACTGCTTCAATGCCTTTGCCACCTGAAAAAGAAAGTAAATTTCGTCAGAGATAGTCCAGGTGCAACAGGTGAACTACTGTTACAAGTCACCTGTATCAGAGGCAGAGTCCGAGGAACCTGACCCAGTGCTAAACCCCTCCTCACCGCCCCCCCGCCCCCCCTGAGGAATGACAAAAAAGAATCAGCCTATGCCCTCAGACTCAGACGGGGAGGGATGTAGTGATTGTAACAAGGGCAGCCAGGCGGACTTCATATATGAGTACCCTGACTGGGGCTTTTAATATAGTCCAGTCAGGGAGCCCTGGCTGACATAGCAGAACAGGATTGTCAGACATCCTGTTCACTCTGAGAGCTGGCTCTGAGGGACCTGGATCGTATCAAGGACTGTCCACCTTTAAATAAAAGGTGACTTGGTATCGGGTAGCATCCTCTGAGTTATTTTGGTAGATTTGTGAGGATGGGTTAAGTAAGAATTTCCCTCTGTTTCTCTTTTATCATATACTTTTATGCTGACATCCTAAGAGGTGGAATTCAAGATAGACTGAGGAAAAAACAAGGTCAGGAACTGCAGGCTTGCATTTGTTTAGAACTCTGCATAGTCATATGAAATAGACAAGTCTCTAATCTTGCTGAATAATTGTTGTAAGTCTGTTACCTGCATGTGCTTCTCTCTCTGTTGACTTAACTTTGTCCTCGGTTAGTATGTATGCCAAGTGTGGAGCAGCTCTGTGACACCATTACAAAGTTGTTCCAGGGTCCTAAATACTGCAACAGGTTTCCTCACCACCTGCCACAGACCCAATCCAGTTAGGACTGTAAAGAAGATTTAACTTGCTTCTAAGAAGATTCGGATAACTTCTTCCAGAGATTAGGAAAAATCACAGACAAATGAAAGAGAAGAATCTTCTTACCACAGATGATCAATAGGATCTATTAACTTCATAAGGGTATAAACACTCTAAATATACACTTGACAAGTAAAAACAAAACGTAGGCACAATATCGAACATGAAGACTCCACCAAAGTCGGTGGAGTTGTGGATAGTGCAGAAGGATGTTGCAGGTTACAGAGGGACATAGATAAGCTGCAGAGCTGGGCTGAGAGGTGGCAAATGGAGTTTAATGCGGAAAAGTGTGAGGTGATTCACTTTGGAAGGAGTAACAGGAATACAGAGCACTGGGCTAATGGTAAGATTCTTGGTAGTGTGGATGAGCAGAAAGATCTCGGTGTCCATGTGCATAGATCACTGAAAGTTGCCACCCAGGTTGATAGCGTTGTTAAGAAGGCGTACAGTATGTTAGGTTTTATTGGTAGAGGGATTGAGTTTCGGAGCCATGAGGTCATGTTGCAGCTGTACAAAACTCTGGTGCGGCCACACTTGGAGTATTGAGTACAGTTCTGGTCACCACATTACAGGAAGGATGTGGAAGCATTGGAAAGGGTGCAGAGGAGATTTACCAGGACGTTGCCTGGTATGGAGGGAAAGTCTTATGAGGAAAGGCTGAGGGTTTTGAGGCTGTTTTCGTTAGAGAGAAGAAGGTTAAGAGGTGACTTGATAGAGACATACAAGATGATCAGAGGATTAGATAGGGTGGACAGTGGGAGCCTTTTTCCTCGGATGGTGATGGCTAGCACGAGGGGACATAGCTTTAAATTGAGGGGTGATAGATATAGGACAGATGTCAGAGGTAGGTTCTTTACTCAGAGAGTAGTAAGGGCGTGGAATGCCCTGCCTGCAAAAATAGTAGACTCGCCCACTTTAAGGGCATTTAAATGGTCATTGGATAAACATATGGATGATAATGGAATAGTTTAGGTTAGATGGGCTTCAGATTGGTTTCACAGGTCGGCGCAACATCGAGGGCCGAAGGGCCTGTACTGCACTGCACTGTAATGTTCTATGTTCTATGTTCTATGTGATGCAAACTTCAAAGAATTATGTACCTGAACCTCTAGGTTTCCCTGTTCTACAACACTATCCAAGGCCCTACTTTTAATTGTATAAATCTTGCCTTTGTTTTACCAGATGCAATACCTCGTGTTTATCCAAAGTAAACTCCAGTTGAATTTGGGAAATCAAAAACTATGGGGGAGAAAAGGTTGTGCTAAATGTGTTGCTTTTTTACCATTGCATCATTGGTTAACTGAGGGGAGGTGGGGGGCAGTTTGCAGGGAGATATTGTGTTAGATGACAGATATGAAAGAATCAATTGAGACAAGCTGAAGTTCTGCCCACTCGTGTAGCACTTCTAGGCATTTGTAATTAGAATGTCTTCTCATGTTGTCATCAGTATAATGTAACTTGTGAACAGTTGCTTAGACGTGGTAAACCCTACCTGTGTAACATTCCCAGACCAGATCACCGAAGTTATCTTACGGTTTGGCTAGGGCTCAGTAACGTGGATTTTTAAGGGAATAAATCTACCAGATTCCATACCTTTGAGCAAACAACCAACTTTACATTGCAATGTTAGAACAGTAAAAATCTATAATATGTGTATAACTTATTTTTAACAGAAGTAGCATGTGGCAAGTATAGGTAATAGACCATGATTAATCATCCTATAGTGTGCATGTAACAAATATGATCAAGACAGATCTCTCATTTCTCAGCAATCGCCACGTCCCTTCCCCCACTTTACTGACATAATGAGTCATCAAATCTCATTAAATTTCACAAGAAATTACAATTCTTCGCACTTTCCTGTCTGGTTTTCAAGCTCCCCAGCAAGAACCACTCCATCATGTATTGCTTCATTGACTGCTTTCATTCTGGTCCATCAAGTCCCTGCCTTGGGCTTACATTTCCCCTGGATTCTGAAACTGCAGTTCATCATTCTATTTGCAGCATAACCTGGGTCTTCACTGACAGCTAGCCTAGCCAAACCAAACCAGTCCTGTCCTTTTTTGCCCTCTCCTAGCTTCCATCTTGTTCAGTTGCAGCAGCCAAATATTGCACGTGGGATTTTTAACCCTAACCTTTTTCTTGCAGTGAAGTATTAATGCTGATCAGCTTCTTCCAAGCCCCTCAGGCTTTCCCCAAAACAATAATCCTCCCACTTCCTGAGTCCTGACTGCAGCATTTAAATGCTTACTAATTGGTAAGACTTTATCCTGAGTCCTAACAGCACAGAGCCATCCTTCTGCTTTTGACTCCTCACGGAGTCCTATATAAGTGTAGTTCAGCTGCTTTTGCAACTTTCCCCTGTTGCCTTTTGCTGACTAATTGACTGCAGTGATTGTTGAACTGTCCTGCATGACCTATACGAACATTACAATAAGCCCCTCCTCTGTTGCTAGTCAGAAACATGTTTGGCACATAGACATTCTCAGAACTGAGTGTGCTCTGAATGTCACAATAACTGGCTCCTGAGCACAACAAATCCTTACAAAAAGGAAGATTCACCTCACTTGAGATGTGCCTTTTCTGCTGAAAATTATTTGTGGTACATTGTCTACACCTTATCATTACTATTATAACAGCTCTTCTTGAAAAAAAATTGAAAGATGTACTTAAGATTTCTCTCCACCTCAAGCAAGGATAACAATCTTTGCTTCTCCAGTCTTTTTACCTAATTGAAGTCATTCATCCCTGTTGCCATTCTATAAAAGCCCATCTGTACTCTTGCTAAAGCAAGAAAGAGTGTATTTCCCAAAATAGTGATCTTTTGCTGGAGGAATGAACTGATTCGGGTATTCCCTTTAGCCTTTATATCTTTTGTTGGAAAGAATAAGTGAATAATGGTTTAGTTTCTACAATTTTCTTGAATGAGTTTAATTTGAAGTATGTGTCTGTGCTTTAAAGTTTAAAATGTTTTTTCTAGGCTGTGTGGGCTTTGGGAAACATTGCAGGTGATAGCGCAGTATGCAGGGATTTTGTCCTCCACTGTGCAATTCTTCCACCATTGTTACAGTAAGTCTGAATTTTCAGAGATTTTCATAATTATATTAATGTGTACGTCAAGAGGTACAAGAGTTGCATGCCAAGGGTCTAACCAAAGTAGTAAGTAATCCAAAACTGTACAAACTAATTAAGGTAGAGAGATCATAACCATTTGTTAAGGTGATGGTGTCAAAACCGGACAGTAAGGAAGATTTTACAGGTACAAAAGTGTTGAGGGGTGGGGGAGGGGGAGTTCACGTGTAGCGTACCATGAACCCAGGGTCATGGGTGAGGCCATCTTCATGGGTACAGAACTTGGCTGTCAGTTTCTGCTTGGCTATTCTGCGTTGTTGTGTATCTCAAAGGCTGCCTTGGAGGCTGCTAGTTCTGATGTACCACAGCAAAAAACCGCAACGACCTCCTCAGAAGACAGACACAGGATGCGATCGATGGAGTACCCTTCATCGTCCAGTGCTTCCCCAGACTGGAGGGACTATGCCGTGTTCTTCGCAGCCTTAAAGATGTCATTGATGAGGAGCATCTCACCAAGATCATCCCTACACTTCCACTTCTCGCCTTCAAACAACCACCAAACCTTAAACAGACCATCATTCGCAGAAAACTGGCAACAGTCTTCACGACAACGACTACAACACCTCACAACCCAGCCATGGCAACATCCGCAAGACATCAGATCATTGACACGGATACCACCATCACACATGAGAAACCACCCACCACGTACACAGCAGATACTTACTCATGTGACACGGCCGATACTCAAGTGACATGGCCAGTGTTGTCTATCTCATACCCTGCAGGCAAGGATGCCCTGGAGCTTGGTAAATTGGCAAGACCATGCAGATGCTACAATAACGGATGAAAAGACAATGCACAACAATCGCCAAACAGAAATGTTTCTCCCCCCCAACCCCCCACCAAGTTGGGGAACACTTCAGCAGTCAAGGACATTCAGCCTCTGATCTTCGGGTAAGCGTCCTTCAAGGCGGCCTTCAAGATACATGTGGTAATGTTTTGGATTATTTGTTACTTTGGTTAGACCCTCAGCATGCAACTCTTATAACTATCATGTTATTTCAGCCATTTGGTTGTCTCCAGCATTACCTTATTTTAAATTTTTTATAATTATCTCTCTCTCTGCTTCATTTAATAGGATAATAGGTCATCACTTCACTTATTGTTCAGCTGTTGACACTGTACACACACCATCTCACACATCTGATCACTTACTAGTCACACTCCACTCACACCATTTGTATGATCTTTTGATTCCTCTGCCCTTGATCTCTCTACCTATAAATTATGTGTCTGTGTGCTTCTCTCTCACTTCACCTAACGAAGGGGCTACACTACGAAAGCTTGTGATTTCGAATAAACCTGTTGGACTATAACCTGGTGTCATGTAACTTCTGACTTTGTCCACCCCTGGCACCTCCACATCCTGGTTAGATACAGACAGTTAACATACACTGTTAATTGTCCCTTCCCTCAAATGCCATTGTATGTTAAAATATTTGCATTAATGGATAAAAAGCAGTGTCATAATTTTTCTTAAGTGTGTGCAGCATTAAGTTGGGAATGTTGTCTGAGCTAGAACTGTGTATGACTTTGTCTAGAGCACACTATTTACTTGTAATCTGATTATAGGGTACAAGCATTCATCCAGTGTTTTGTTCTAGATTTGTGCTTTTCCTTTCTTTTCCTGCAGGTTACTGACAAAATCTAACAGACTCACAATGACACGAAATGCCGTATGGGCACTGTCTAACTTATGTAGAGGCAAAAATCCACCTCCTGATTTTGAGAAGGTAACTATCCTCTGTTACATTGTCTGTTACATTTGAGATAAGTATATATCACTGTGATCTTTAGCCTCAGTTAGTTGTAATGTTTCTGTTTTCTCAATAAATTAGGACATTTTTTGTACAAAAATGCCATGTTATGCAGTGGGCAGGTTGAAATCAATCAGTTTAGACGTTCATCTTTAATTCGCGCAACATATAAAATATAAAGGTTGTTTTCTTATTTACAGGTATCCCCCTGTTTACCTGTGTTGTCCAGACTACTATTCAGCAGTGACCCTGACTTGCTTGCTGATGCTTGTTGGGCATTATCTTACCTGTCAGATGGCCCCAATGAAAAAATTCAGGCTGTTATTGACTCTGGGGTTTGCAGGCGATTAGTGGAACTCTTAATGTAAGTATATTTATATGGAGGTGATCATCTTTGTTTCTTATATGGTTATGGATTTGACAGATATACTAAGAGGTCAATTTCAACCCTTTATAAACATTTTCGAAAGTTTGAGGAGTTTAGCTAGTGTTACAACCAGGTGAAGAGGGGTGATTTGGCTCCTATTTTTATCCCCTTTTTGGTTGCAGCAAATGTTTTTGTTTCGTTTTAACATGCAGCTATCACACTTCAAGATTTAGTTAAAAATTTAGTTAATGAGATGAAAATGAAGAAGAAAGTTACCAAGATTTTCTTGAGTGAAAGAAAGGAATTTCATTATCTACTAACCTTGAGAAAAATAATAAAAATGTGACCAAAGTCTACACTGTTTGAAAATCCTTGGAGTCTTTTTGGTGTTAACTTTTTTTTACCTCTGAGCATAATTGTTTAATTGTTGACTGGTACCCTTAGCAGTTGTGTAGTTTGTAGATATCCTTGAGTTTCAGTATACGGTTGTTTCTCAATTTGTTTGTCTTTTCAACAAGTAAGATCTTCTGAGATGATGAGTGACAGGGAAGAGAATATTTCAGTCCTTGCTGTTACCAATTCATGTTATTTTTCTATTTTTTTAAATTCATTCGAGAGATTTAGACATTGCTGGTTGGGCTAGCATTTATTGTCCATCCCTAGCTCCCTGCAGAAGGTGGTGGGCTGCCATCTTGAACTGCTGCAGTCAGTTTGGTGTAGATATACACACAATGCTGTCAGGGAGGGAGTTCCAGAATTTTGATCCAGTGACACTGAAGGAACAGCAATATGTTTCCAAGTCAGGGTGGTGAGTAGCTTGGCAAGCAACTTGAAAGTGGTGGTATTCCCATGTATGTGATGCTCTTGTCCTTCTGGATAGAAATAGTCATGATCTTTGAAGGTATTATACAAGGACGCCTGGTGAATTTCTGTAGTGCTTGTGGTTAGTACACTTTGTTCCTACTGAGTGTTGATAGTGTAGGAAGTGCATGTTTGTAGATGTAGTGCCAGTCAAATGGTCTGTTTTATCCTTGATGGTATCAAGCTCAAGCATTATGAAGCTGCACTCCTCCACACAGCACTCAAGAAGTTTTACTGCTGAAAATCAGCTGTTGAAATATAGTTCACTGTGTATTCCCAAATCTGGCTACATTGTTTCGAGATGGCAAACTGGCAGATGTGTCTAAGGTTTTAGAGTAGATTTGTAGCTCGGGTTGTGTATGTAGTGGTTGGTTGGCTCACCGAGCTGGTTTGTTGTTCCACAGACGTTTCATTACCCTGCTGGGTAAGATCATCAATGCAGCCTCCAATGAAGCGCTGTTGTGTTTTCCCGCCTGTTATTTAAACTCTAAAATCATTAAACACGTTAAAATTGTTCTGTATGGTTTGCATGAAATAACTGTTAAAGGTGATATGTTGAATGTATAATTGCTGACCGGTTGTTTTTGTCAATTTCTTCATAGGCATAATGATTATAAAGTTGCATCACCAGCATTAAGAGCTGTTGGTAACATAGTAACAGGTGATGATGTCCAGACACAAGTAAGTGCAGCAATGACTTGTGCATCTGGAGTCAATAGTAAATCGGTTATTTTGATGTTGGCTTCAGTTAAAATTAATTTAATTTAATTAATTTAGTTAAAATTAATTAATATAACTGAAACTCTGAAAAAGCAAAAGATGTTTTAATGAAGTTGTTCTACCCAAGCTTTAGATTGCAGGACCTTTCTCCCCTTTAATGTAGGCATTAATTATTTTAAACTTTATTAAAACGAAATAATTTACTACAGATTCACTGAACTTAATTGCAAGATATTGTTTAAAGTCTTAATTTTTGGCTTATCCAGGTCATATTAAATTGTTCAGCCTTGCCATGTCTTCTACATTTATTAAGTAGTCCTAAAGAATCCATAAGGAAGGAGGCCTGTTGGACTATTTCAAACATTACAGCTGGAAATAGAGCACAGATTCAGGTAAAGCAAACGTAGTTTCCACTTGAAATCTGAATATATAATATTGAAGCAGTTAATTTAAATTTTCTAAATTGCTTGAAACTACCTTGCAGCGCTTTGCCAAGATCACAAACTTTCAACACAAATTTATTGTTAGTAAATTTTAAATTCTAATGAGGTGGGTGCAGTTTGTTTTTATTTAAATAATCAGAGGTTTCCAAAATCCTATCACAAATTTTTCTACTTTGGAATATTTCTCAGGAATATGCTAATAAAGAGCACGTAGTTTGCATTCCCCAGAAGCTGAAAAGGCTTCATATGTGTGATACTGTGAAGTTGCTAAGTAGAGACATTCCGAAGAAGGCATTGCATTTAAACCTACGTCCTTCTGAATTTTTGTTTCTGTCATGTTACAGTGTTCTAGCTAAAATTGCTATTTGTCTTTTCAAGAGATGGTTTTGTTGATCTAGGGACTTTAAAAAAACGTCCTTTTTCAAAATCACCAGATAGTAATGTGATAGTGTCAGCTATGGATCAATTGGTAAACCCTCATCTACAGTTTGTCATTTTGTAGGTTCACATCCCACTCCAGCACCGTGAGCACAAAAATCAAAGCTGATGTTCGTGTTCAGTGCTGAGGAAGTGTTGCAATACCAGAAGTGTCATCTTTTTGATGAGGCATTTTGTTGAGGACTTGTCTGCCCCTCAGGTGAACATTTGTGTTCCCATCTCACACTTTTGAAGAAGAACAGAGAGGTTATGTCCCGTGTCAGCAAAGATGACCGCGATTCCAGCTTTCAACACACCCCCCCATCATGGTGGCACTGCTGCCTCACAGCACCAGGGACCCGTGCCCAATTCCACCTTGGGCGACTGTCTGTGTGGAGTTTGCACATTCTCCCCATGTCTGCGTGGGTTTCCTCCGGATGCTCAGGTTTCCTCCCACAGTCCAAAGATGTGTAGGTTAGGTGAATAGCCATGGGAAATGCAGGGTTACAGGGATAAGGTACGGGGTGGTTCTGGATATAATGCTCTTCGGAGGATTGGTGTGGACTTGATGGGCCGAATAGCCTGATTCCGCACCATAGGGATTCAATGATTCTCTTCTATCTTCCCTGGCCAATATTTCTGTCTCGGGTCTGCTGCAATGCTCTAGCGAGACTCGGCGCAAGCTGGAAGAGCAGCATCTCATTTTCTGCTTGGGGCCCCTGCAGCCTCCAAGATTCAAAATTGTGTTCAATAATTTTAGAACCTGAACACCAATACCTATGTCCTTTACCCACCTTTACAATCCAGGCCCTGTCATGACACAGGTTACTTTCAGCAAATCCAACCAATTTTCACCAATGATCCCCATTATCAGCTTTTCTTTCTCCCTGGCATACTATCATCCATCTCTTTGTCTGCCTAACTGTTGTAATGTCCATCTCCATTTATCTGCCGACTCCTTCCCCCCCACCCCCCGCAGCAATCCCCATCTTCAGCATATATACTACCTTTTCCTAGCTACTCTCAGTTCAGAAGAAGAGTCACTGGACTGAGTGGTAATTCTGTTTTCCCTTCACAGATGCTGCCAGACCTGCTGAGTTTCCCCAGCAGTTTCTGTTTTACTTCAGATTTCCAGCATCCACAGTTTTTAGTTTTACTTTAGGGTGTATTTCCAACATCCTGGCCAATTATGTACCTTTCATTCGCAGGTGTGGCCATCACTGGCAAGGGCAATGTTTATTGCCCATCCATAACTGCTGTTGAGAAGGTTGTGGTGAGTTGCCTTCTTGAACCACTGCAGTCCATTTGCTGTACAGACACCCACAATTTTCTCTGGCTTCATTTCTTCTGTCCTTTCTGGCAGTTGATACAACAAAATGCTTGCTAGGCCATTTCAGAGGACAGTTAACAGTCATCATAATCATAGAATCTCTACAGTGTGGAAGCAGACCATTCAGCCCATTGAGTCCACACCAACCCCCCAAACAGCAACCCACCCAGTCCTTGTAACCTGCATTTCCCAAGGAAAATTAATCTAGCCTGCACATCCTTGGACACGAAGGGCAATTTAGCATGACCAATCCACCTCGCCTGCACATCTTTGGAATGTGGAAGGAAATCCATGCAAACATAGGGAGGATGTGCAAACTCCATATAAACAGTCACCCGAGGGTGGAATCGAACCCAGGTCCCTGGTGCTGTGAGGCAGTAGTGCTAACCACTGAGCTACCATGCCATCCCACGTTGCTGTGGGTCTGGAGTCACATGTTGGCTGGACTAGGTAATGATAGAAGTTTCCTTCCCTAAAGGTTAATTGAACTACATTGGTTTTTATGACATGTAACAATGGTTTCATGGTGATCATTTGACTTTTAATTCCAGATTTTTGTTTTGTATCTCTACCAATGTCACCAAGAGCAGATTATCTGGTCAGTTGCTGTTTCTGAGATCTTGCTAAGAGTAAATTGGTGTCATATTTCTGACTTTGGAACAGTGTCTACCCTTAAATATCATGTCCACTGCTGCAAAGTACTTTGGGATGTCCTGTGATTGTGAAAGGTGCTATGTCAAAGCATGTCTTTTTGTTCACTTCTTTGAAACATTTTGTTTTCAAGGCTGTAATAGATGCAAACATCTTTCCAGTGCTGATTGACCTTCTTCAGAAAGCAGAATTTCGGACAAGAAAAGAGGCAGCGTGGGGTATCACAAATGCAACTTCTGGAGGAACACCAGAACAGATTAAGTGAGTGACATAAACACTTTATTTGTGTACCTTTTGTTCATTGTTTCTGATCAACATTTTTTTAAATTGTGAAATATTCTTCATCTTTGCCAGCTCCTTTGTAAACTTCCATTTTGTAGTTCTTAATATTAATTTTCCCATTCAAGGGATCTGAGCTTTTGTCCCTTTTGTAATATTATGAACATACAAAATAAGAGCAGAAGTAAATCATTCACCAATGAATAAATCATGGCTGATCTGTTTGTGTTTTGAATTCCTCATTCCAGTTGATAACTGTTGATTTTCTCTGCCTAGCTATCTATCCATCCATGTCTTAAAGGTATTCCGTGATCCAGGTTGTACCACATTCAGACGCAGCGAGTTTTAAAGTTGCACGGCCTTCTGAGAAAAGATTTCTAATCGTCTCTGACCTGAAAGGGCAACCCCTAATTTTAAATTTATGTCCCCTAGTCCTGGACTGACCCACAAGAGGACACGTATTTTCCACACCCATCTTGTCAAGGTTATTCCGGCATTATACACCTCAATCAAGTTACCCCTTACTCTTCTATACTCCAGTGGAATCAAGCCCAACATGTCCAAAATATCCTCATAAGACACCCCACACATTCCAGGTCAATCTAGTAAACTTCCTCTGCATCATCTTCAATGCATTTACAGGCTTCCTTAAACAAAAGACCAAAACTGCGCACACTGCTCAAGACATGATCTCACCAATGTATAGGTGAAGTATAGATTTTGTAATAAAGGATAGCATCCCATTTCTCTTTTTGATTATGTGTTGTACTTGCATAATGCCTCGGAGTCATAGAGATCTCCAGCACACAAAAAGACCTCAGTCCATCTCATCTATGAAGTTCAGAAACAACCAACTATTTAACTCCCATTTTTCCAGAGCTTGACCCATCGCCTTGTTTGCCTTGGCATTGCAAGTACACATCTAAATACTCGCATGTTCAGGCTTTCTGCCTCTAACACCCTTACTGATAGTGAGTTCCAGGTTCCCACCACTTTTTGGGTGAAAAAATATTTTCCTCACATCTCCTCCAAACCTTCTGCCCCTTAACTTGAAGCAGTGCCCCCCCACCCCACCCCATCCCCGGTCATTCATCCCCTTCATTGTGGGGAACAGTTTCTTCCTGTTGACCTCATCTATACCCCACATAATTTTATGCATCTCAGTCATGTCCCCTTAATCTCCTCTGCTTTGAGGAAAACAACCCTAATCTGGTCAATCTCTCTCCATAACTGAACCTGCAGCATCCTGATAAATCTCCCCTGCACTCTCTCCAGTGCTATTACATCCCTCGTATAATGTGGATTCCAGAATTTCACACAGTACTCTAGCTGTGGCCTAATCAATGCTTTATATACTTTCGGCAAAATCTCCTTGCTCTTAAACTCCATGCCTCAACTAATAAAGCAAGTGTCCCACATACCTTTTTAACCACTTTATCCACCTGCCCTGATATCTTAAGGATCTGGTGTAGGTGCACACCAGGGTTCCTCTGATCTTCCCAAGGGCCCTACTATTCATCATGTGTTCACTTGCTTTGTTTGTCCTGCCCAAGTGCACAACCTCATTTGTATCAGGATTGAATTCCATTTGCCACTGATTATCTCATCTGACAAGCCCATCTATGTGCTCTTGTAATCTAAGGCACTCCTCACTATTTGCCACAACACCAATTTGTGTATCATCTGCAAACTTACTCATTTATCTTCCTACATTCAAGTCTAAATCATTTATATTAACTGCAAATAGCAAGAGTCCCAATTCCGTTGGATCCCATGGGTTCTTTACTGTCTTTACTATCAGTCTACTGTGTGGGACCTTATCAAAAGCTTTGCTGAAGTCCAAGTATTGCATCAAAGGCATTGCCGTCTTCTACACATCTGGTCACCTCTTCGAAAAATTCAGTCGAGTTGGTTAGACATGACCTCTCCCTAACAAAATTATTCTGACTGTTCTTGATTAATCACTGCCTCTCCAAATGCAGATTAATTGTCCCACAGAATTCCCTCCAATAGTTTCCCCATCACCAAATTTAGACTGACTCACTTGAAGTTTCTTGGTTTATCCCTCACTCCCTTAGAACATAAAACTGTACAGCACAGGAATGGGCCCTTCGGCCCAAGATGTCGTGCTGAACATGACGCCGAGTTAAACTAATACCTTCTGCTTGACTTGGTCTATATCCTTCCAAATCTTGCATATCCATCTGCTTACCTAAAAGTCTTTTAAACACCCCAATCATATCTGCCTCCATCATCACCCCTGGCAATGCGTTCCACACACCTATTACTCTGTTTTAAAAAAAAACTTACCCCTCATGTCTCCTTTGAGCTTCCCCTTCTCACCTTAAATGCATGCCCCTCCCCAATTTTAGACATTTCAACTCTGGGGGAAAACGATTCTGATCGTCAACTCTACCTATGCATTTCATAATTGGGTACAATATTGGCTGGCCCCAGTCCTCCTAAAGCTCTCGTGTGGCTAGGGAGAAATTGAACAGTTATGCAAGTGCTCCTGCTTTTTCCTCCCTTGCCCCTTCAACAACCTGTGATATATTTCATATAACCCTGGAGACTTAGAGTCGTAGAGTCACACAGTATGGAAAAATCCAGACCAACCATAATCCCAAACTAAACTAGTCCCACCTGCCTGCATTTGGCCTGTATCCCCCCAAACATTTCTTATTCATGTACTTATCCAAATGTCTTTTAAACTTTGTAACTATACCGGCAACCACCACTTCCTCTGGAAGTTTATTCCATGCATGAGCCACTGTGTAAAAGAAAAAAAAGTTGCCCCTCATGTCTTTTTTAAATCTTTCTTCTCTCACCTTAAAAATATTCCCCTTAGTCTTGAAATTCCCCACCCCTAGGAAAAGACACCTGCCATTCACCTTATCTATACCCCTCATGATTTTATAAATCTCTATATAGTCACCCCTCAACCTCCTATGCTCCAGTGAAAAAAAGTCCCAGGCTATGCAACCTCCTCTTGTAATTCAAACCCTCCATTCCTAGCAACATCCTGGCAAATCCCTTGTGAACCCTCTCCAGCTTTAATAATATCCTTCCTATAATAGTAGACCAGAACTGGACGCAGTACTTCAGAAGACGCTTCACCAACGTCGTGTACCAACTTCAACATAACATCCCAACTCCTATACTTGAAGGTCTAAGCAATGAAGGCAAGCGCAATGAAGGCAAGCATGCTAAACTCCTTCTTAACCATCCTATCTATATGTGACGCAAGCGTCAAAGAATTATGTACCTGAACCCTGAGGTGTCTCTGTTTTACAACTCTATCCAAGGCCCTACTTTAATTGCACAAGTCTTACCCTTGTTTGATTTACCAAAATGCAATACCTTGCATTTATCTAAATTAAACTCCATCTGCCACTTTTCAAGCCCATTGACCTAATTGTTCAAGATCTCTTTGTAATCTTAGGCAACTGTTTTCACTGTCCGCTATACCACTAATTTTGGTGTCATTCGCAAAGTTACTAATCAGGTCTTCTTTATTCTTATCTAAATCATTTATGTAAATGACAAACAAAAGTGGACCCAGCACCAACCCCTGTGGAACACCGCTGGTCACAGGCCTCCAGTCCAAAAAGCAGTCCTCCTTCATCACTTTGTCTCCAGCCGTTAAGCCAATGTGCATGTCTCAATCTATATAAAAGTTGAAATCTGACTTTCTAGTCACTCTGCAGAGGTTAGAGAAGCCCATAGCAAAGGCAATCAAACAACCTACTATTCAACTGCTACTAAAGGGCTTTTATACACATCCTGCTGTAGTCTTAAATCTCTTCCTGTTAATTTTGCTAATAATGTTTCTGTAACCTACTTATCCCTTGTTACATCAATGTTGAGAGGAAGTGATTTCATCCTTAATCGTTTCCATTATCTTTCCTGTAGACCTTTATAACGTGGTTTGTTTAGCTTTCCACTCCTATGTATCTTGGAACCATGTTTTATAAATGGCTACCATGTCATACTCTCTGTATTGAATGGACTACAGAGGAAAATTCAATTTCTTGTGCAGAGTATGAAGAATGCTTATTTGAACCACACATCCTATCCCATTCCCCTGCTCTGTTGTTTTTCTCTCATTTCTTGGTACTGTCACCTGATTTAATTACTTTACATCCTTTTACTTTTCCCATTCCCACTAGTAATGTGTTTGATATAATCTGCCTGAGATTTATCAAGGCTTTTGACAAGGTCAAGTGGTAGACTGGTCAGAAAATTAAAAGCTTGTGGAGCCAATAGAAAAAAGGGGCAAATGTTTGAACCAAAATTGACCTGTCAGAGTATGAGAGTAAGCTTGTTGAAAACCTACAAACTGATTGTAAAAGCTTCTATAGGTATGTGAAAAGATAAAGGTTTGTGAAGACAAATGTAGTTCCCTTGCAATCAGAAACAGGGGAAGTTATAATGGGGAGCAAAGAGATGGCAAACTAATTAAATACATTATTTTTGCATTCCTTTGTGAAGGCAGATCTAATGCCTCAGAAATGTTTGGGAACACATTGTATAGTGAGAGGAAGAAACCGAAAGAAATCGGTATTAGTACGGAAATGGTGATGGGGAAATTGGGATTAAAAGCTGTAAAACCTCAGGTTCAATAACATACATTCCAGAGTACTTAAAGAAGTGGCCCCAGAAGTAGTGGATGCATTGGGGGTCAACTTTCAAGATTCTGTACTGGCATGACATCTGTACTGGGGACAATGCTAGAGTCAGTTATTAATAATGGAGCATTTGGAAAACCATGAATGGATCAGACAGCGTCAGCATGGATTTAGAAAAGGGAAATCATGCTTGACAAATGTACTAGAATTTTTTTGAGGATGTAACTACTAAAGTTGATAAGGGAAGCCAGTAGATGTAGTTTACTTGGACTTTCAGAAGGCTTTTGATAAGGTCCCACAAAGATTGTAATGTAAAATTAAAGCTCTTGGGATTGTGGGCAGTGTACTGACATGTATTGAGAACTGGATGGCAAACATGAAACGAAGAGTGGGATGAATGGGTCTTTTTCTGAATGACAGCCAGCAACTAGTGAGCTACCACAGGGATCAGTGCCTGGACCTCATCTATGCACAATATAAATGATTTAGATAAGGGAACGAAATGTAATCTTTCCAGATTTGCAGACAACACAAAGCTGGATGGAAGGGAGAGCTGTGAGGATGCAGAGATGCTTCAGTTTGATTTGAATTGGTTGAGTGTGTGGGCAAATGCATATGAGTAAATGTGAGATTATCCATTTTGGTAACAAAAACAGGAAGGCAAATTACTAACAAAAATCGAAATTGCTGGAAAAGCTCAGCAGGTCTGGCAGCATTTGTGGAGAGAAATCAGGTGACGTTTCGGGTCGAGTGACCCTTTCTCAGAACAAATTACTGTCTGAATGATGTTAAATTGGGAAAGTGGAAGATGCAAGGAGACCTGGTGTCCTTGTATACTAGTTGCTGAAAGTTAACATGTATGTGCAGCAAACAGTGAAGAAGGCAAATGGTATGTTAGCCTCCCAAAGCAAGAAGATTTTAGGGCAGGAGCAAGGATGTCTTGCTCAATTGTAGAGGACCTTGGTGAGACCATACCTGGAGTATTATGTGCTGCTGTTGCCTGAAGAAGGATGTTCTGGCCATGGAAGAGGTTCTACAGAAGGTTACCAGATTGATTCCTGTGATGGCAGGACAGGCATGAAGAGAAAGACTGGGTCACTTGAGTTTAGAACAATACGGGGGATCTCAACAAAACCTGTAAAATTATAATAGGACTGGTCAGGATAAACACAGGAAGGATGTTCCTGATGACCAGGGAATCAAGAACCCAGGATCACAGTTTAAGGATATGGGGTTAGTATTTGAGACTGAGATGAGGAGAAATTATTTCACGCAGAGTGGTGAACCCGTGGAACTCTCTGCAATAAAAAAGGGTTGAGAACAAAACATTGGATGTTTTCGAGGAGTTGATCCCTTTACCCTACGAATTATATCTAAGGCTATGGGGAAAACATGGGAGCAGTGTACAGAGTTGGATGGTCGTCCATGATTGTATTGAGCAGCAAAACAGGCTCAAAGTGTCGGATGGCATACTCCTGCTCCTATTTCCTATGTTCCCATCAGCAAGAAGCAGAGGGTAAGGATCAGGTATTCTTATGACTGAAAGGCTGTTTTCAGTGGCTTCTCAAAGACTTAGTACTTAGTTGCCAAGTTCCTTTTCATTATATTTTTGGAGAGGCAATGGCCCAGTGGTATTATCACTATTAATTCAGAAACCCAGCTAATGTTCTGGGGACCCATGTTCGAATTCTGCCATAGTAATGATAACCAGAAAATCATTGGCAATTTTTGGGGAGAAACTCTCTTCTGTTTCATTGATGATTCAACAATGTGGTTGACTCTTAACTGTCCTCTGAAGTGGCCTAGCAAGCCACTCGGTGTCAACTGCTATGAATTCTCAACAAAGAAATGAAACTGGACGGACCACCTGTCCCACTGGCTTGACAGACCCAGCAGAGGTGCCATCACAGTGGTATACATTTAGATGGAATTGCTCTCGGAGTCCTTAAAATCGACTCTGCACCTCATGAAGTTTCATGGCATCTGCACTCAACTTGAGTAAGTATGGTTTTTAAAACCACAGCTATTTTCCACACAAACCTTTTGATTCAAAGCTGTATTGTCTAGTTTTAGCTCACAGTCAAAAATAAAGAATATAAAAAATGGCTAAAGTGAATTTGCAAAAGTGAGGGTAACTTGCCTAGGACATATGGTAGGTCAAGTTGTACTGAAACAGCAAAAGTGAAGGCTCTGATGGAATTCTCTGTTCCTAACCCTAAGCAGAAAATCATGAGATGTTTGGGTTTTATCAGAAATTTGTGCCTCGCTTTGGCACAATGATTTTACGTTTAACAGGATTGTTCTGATAACTTCAATTAGGCAAAGGTTAGCAAAATGCCAAGCCGCCTTGAGAAGCTGAAGGCAATCCTATTAAATGAGCTAAGGTTATAAAATTAGGGTTTTGAAACAGTAAAGCAGTATTTATATTGAGATCATATTATTGTATTGCAGATGCTCAGCAGGGCATGATAGCGGTAAACATACTTCTGGGACAAGATTCCCAAATAATTGCTTCTGGAGCCTTTTATTGCTTTTGTAGACGCCAGTGTTGTAACAGTACTGGAAGAGCTTGTCTAGGGGAGCGGTAAGTTCTCGAGCACAAGTCTTTCAGTGCTATCACTGGAATGTTGAATTGGTTTGGATTATATTTGCTGGAATTGAGAAGAATGGGTTGTGGAAGTGGTAACGTAGGAACCTATTAAATTCTAATGGGATGCGACAGGTTAGATGTAGGAAGGATGTTCATCTTAGCGGGTGAGTCCGGAACCAGGTGTCATAATCTCGGTCTATGGGGTAAACCATTTGGGACTGAGAGGTAAGGAGAAATTTCTTCATCCAGGCAGTGGTTAACCTGTGGAATTCACTGAAATAGAAAGCAGGGTGACAACATTGTATGATTTCAAAAAGCAGTTGGATATACCACTTGGAGCTAAAGGGATCAAAGGATATGGAGGAACAGGGTATTGAGTTGGATAATCAACCACAATCATAATGAATGGCAGAGCAGGTTTGAAGGGCTGAAAGACTGAATGGCCTGCTCCAGTTCCTATTTTCTATGCTTCTGCATTAGAAGGAGAGGATAACTTGTAAGATTTCCTGTTAAGGGATGAGCAAGGGAGTGCTGTAGTTAAAAAGTTGAGAGATTGGAGAAGGTGGGATTGCAACTCAAAACATACCCAGATTGAACATGAATTTTTTTGATTTTTCTCTGCAGTTAAAGAGTATTGGATTTCAAAATCTGTACTCAAACTCTTTAAACGTAATTGCTTGATGAACATCAACAAAATGAGACATCATCTGACTGGACTCGCTTTGAATAATTTATATAATTTGAATACAATTCTGGCGATGCCAATATATGATCCATCACTATAGAAATATTGTTATTATAGTGTGGGAAGTCTTTGCACATTTTAGATAGTCTTCTTTTTTGTTTCAAAGGTATCTTGTAAACCTGGGTTGTATTAAGCCATTGTGTGATCTACTGACTGTGATGGACTCAAAAATAGTTCAAGTTGCCCTAAATGGGCTGGAAAACATTTTAAGACTTGGAGAGCAGGAGGCTAAACAGAATGGAACTGGAATTAATCCATACTGTAGTCTTATTGAAGAAGCTTATGGTAGGAGAAGTGATAAAATTGTCTAATTTTTTTCATAAATTTTATTGATATTTATAAAAGGTCTTAAATTAATTTATGCTATGTCTCCATCTCATCATCACAGGTCTCGATAAAATTGAATTTTTGCAGAGCCATGAGAATCAGGAAATCTATCAGAAGGCCTTTGATCTCATTGAGCATTACTTTGGGGTGGAGGAGGAGGACAGTAGTATTGCTCCACAAGTCGATGAAACTGCCCAGCAATTCCTCTTTCAGCAACAGGAAGCCCCAATGGAGGGTTTCCAATTATAAAGTCTTCAAGAATTAACAAAAAACTACATGCCCAACCCCACTGCCCCTATCCCAAACACGCCTCTAGTTTAAAAGAGTGACAGGAAACTTTGTTTTCAAACATCTTTTTCCCCAAAAAGGAAAAAAAAAATAATTTGGTACAAGAAGTTTTGCTGTCTATTTAATTTTGCGTGGTAGAGTTGTGGACTAACTGTTGCACTTTCCTTTTGTTTGTTTGATACTGCATTGGAACTCAGTAGTTTTCAGTTTGTGAGCTGTGGTGCACTTAGGCAATTCCCCCAGAAATAAAGCTAGAAGAAATTTCAGTATACATTAAATTTAATTCTGATAGATTGAAACACCCACGAAATGCTTGCAATTTGATTTTTGGGAAGTTTGAGTTAGCAGTCAATTGATGCAACTAAAATCCATAAAAAGATTGCTTGTGTAGATAATTGAGACAGCCCTCAGGGCATGTCGCCATTTGTGACTGCTATTTTATTCAGCCATTTGAACAATTAAATGGTCAAGAAACAGTTTTCTTTTGGATGGGTTTGAATCTGGATTTGTTGAGTTATGGGGTGGATGGAGTGAGAATGCTTAAAATATTTCAGTGAATATATAGAAAAATGTATCAGTTTTCAAAGATTTAGTCCTAAAAGCTCCAGCAGGTCTTCTAATGAGCAAGCTGAGACTTGTGCTAATTCTGAATTCAGTAAACTTGCAGCTCTAATTAGTTGCTTGGTTGCAATTAATGCTGGTCAAGGGTAGAGCCAATATTCTAATTTGAGTGTTGTATTTTGAAAGCTAGACAGCATTCAGAATTGGCACAATCCTTATTTGAAGACCTTAAATGTATATTTGCTACTGGTAGAACTGTTAAATATTGAAAAAAGTTAGTTTGATTATGGCTTAATTTAAACATTCAGATTTGATTTCTATATTTTCCTCTAGAAAGGAAGGGGAGATTGTAGTTTTGGTAATAGTTTGGGAAGTGTAGGAGGCAGCTTGATGCGAGCTGTTACATTATTTGGGGAGAATTTATAAGCTATATGCTTTGTTGATGGAAATTCAAGTGTCTGGCCTTTCCAGGTGTTGCATCACGGCAGCTATTGATCATGTATTTACATAAAAAGAAACAGACTTAATCTGTCTACAAATTTGAGAATATTTAATCTGTAAACTGGAAGCTGTACAATGCAAATCTGTAAATGTCAGTCATTACTTATTTCACATGTAACTTTGAAATAATAAAATGTATTTGTCCCTTGCCAAGCAGCTGGAGTAAAACTATTGCAACTATAGTTGCTGACCTGCCATGTTTTATAGCATAATTGGATAGCGATTCTCTATCGTAAACTTGCTCAAGTTTCCTCAGCAGCTGCCTCTTGTACATCCAAACTCCATGTTTGTTTCCAGAAAATCTGCTACTGAAACGAATTCAATTAGCTGTAATTGCTCCCAACTTGTATATAGTTTGACTGCAAAATCAAATTTGATTCAGAAATTCCCTAATGTTTACATTTACCTCCTTTCTGAAACAACAGGAAATTATCTCTACACACAGTGTTTGGTAAGACAGTTAGGTGACAATGGAAACCAAACTGTTCTACCAGTTTGGTTTAGTTTCCATTTGTTTTTAGTCAGTTTTTAATTGGTAATAAAATAAAAGCACTAACTCTAAAATGAGAATTGAGGCATTTATTGAAACTGCATTTAGCTACAGAATGACTGACTTGTAGAATAGAATCTGAAATTACATTGTAAATAAAGATGTGTGGCATCTTACTTTGCTATTGCTTCACCCCTTAGGATGTAAAATGCACTGAGGATAAAGGAAGCAAGCTTGCTATAGAGAAATTGTAAAGAAAACTAAACAAACTCAAAACAAGTTTGCAGATCCAAGCCAACTTTATTAAGAAAAAGGAAACAAATTTCGCTATGAGCACTTTTAAAATTTTATTGATGACCTCATGATTTGGCAAGGGAATAATTTGTCTACATTCTAACATTACTTGCACATATATATCACATACATACCAGCAGACTGTTCTACATAGTTTTCCATCTACAATTTTCAAGGAAATGGCTTCAATAACGAATTCTGGTGTACTGAACTTTATAAAAGGTTGGGTTATATTCTATAAGCAAAGAGACTGCATTAATTAGACAAACTGTGAACATTAATTATTGAATCCTATTAAATATTGAAAAAGAAGCCATTTTTCACTACTTCTGCCGCTGCAGTTAGCTTTGATTCGGGTTGGCAGAAAGATCATAGGACAGATGTTTGAGATCTATGAAGTACAACCACTGTGAACTGAGCAAGATTATTCTCAGTGATGTTTATCCTCCTCACTCTGAACTTGGGATCTTTGTAACCTAACTTTGCTATTAGTTTGTTGCAACTGGAATCTGTGTTATAAAAGTGAATGCACTGAATTATACTTGCCGATTCATTAAAATGTAATCAGCTGATAATTTACAATAATTTAATGTACAGAGATTAGCTAGAGTAAGGAGCTCCTTGTTTCAAACACAAATGAAATCTTGAGTGTGGTTGGGCATTGATATTTGGGTTGGGTTGTGGAATTTATAAAATGAACTGCAAATAGTAATGATTTTATTTGGAGGAAATGGTGGAGAGTTAAATAACTCAAAAGAGCAATGGATATTATAGCGAAAAAGAATGTGCAACAATCACTTAACCTCCCAAAAGAACCTTATCGAAATAACTTGCAACCTAGCCAGCTCTGCTGCAGCTTGGTTTTACTTTTGTGTCTCTCTAACAGACCAGTGTGACGCTGACTGACTGAAGATGTGTGATGTGATGGAGAGTTTGAATTATACATTTGCCATTGCTTGAAAGAAGACTAAGATCTGTCTTTCTTTTGTGTACTTATTCCAAAAATAGGAATGACCTCCAAACCAGCCCTTCTAAAGCTATATTCTCTCACACTAAAACTTTTGTAATACAATTAAAACGAGCATATTTTTTGTTCCAGTATCATTTACAATGTTTGCATACTTTTCTAACAGTATTTTTGCAATAATCTCATTGTGCATTTCAAAACAGATTTGTTAAATTGGTATATGTTGTTTGCATAGTTATCAGGTTCCTGCATGCTTTGCAATATTTCTTCAAATTGGAGTTCATTTTGCATCCAGGCATGATTAAAATTGTGTGTTTTGCTCTCCTGCTGGTTAGAATTATAAAAACTGCATTTTGGATCTTCAACTAAAATGAAACATTATGATGATTTTACTCCCGGTTCTTGTTGATGGAGGTTGTGGTAGAGCAGTGAATGTTTGGGAAAGGGAGAAAAGTCCTGGTTGATATGAATACTTAATTTTTTTAATTCCACAAAACCTAAATTAACAAACCTTTCCTAGTCTGTTGCATCACTGGAATTCCAAAAAACATTTGAGGTTTTGTGAAGTGATGCGCTATGATCTTAGCAGCAGAAATATCTTTCACTACTGTTAAATTTTAAAAGATCTTGTTTCTCCTTAGATGAAAACAATTGCATAACATTCTTCTCATAAAAAACACCTTCATTGAAGTAGGACATTGTGCTGGAAACAAGACTGAATTTTTTGGAAGTTAATGGAGTATTTTTTTTTTAAGCAGTTGGATCGTTGGGGAGGCTATAATGAGAGGTTTTTTTTTTCAAAGTCTTGAAAGCCTTTTTTTAAGAATGGCTAGGCCAGTAGTTTATACTTCTAATCCTTTAACCAACATAAACTAAAATACAAATTCAAGCAGACTGGCTCCATGATGATTTAGTATTAAATTCTCTGCCCAGAATGTTATTGGTAGCTGCTTAAAAATTTGAATTAGGAAGAGAGAATGTAACTGACAATGAGGATTTGCCTGAACAGTTTCTCTCATGGTTCATTATAGTAGATGAAGTTGTTCCAACAAGTAAAACATTGAGCTATATTTTGAGCTTTAATAAAATCTGTTGAAGGGAATAAATGGCTTTTAACTATGCAATGCACTTTAGTCTTCAATTTCAACGGTAAGCAATTTCACCAGAACTGGGAGAGAATTAACTTTGTAATGCTGAACATACCTTTTGCTGGCAAACTATTTACCGATGTATCTGATATCTTGAATATATTTGAACTAGTGAAATCGAAGAAGGCCTGGAGTGTATTTCATTTGCATTTTGAAATATCCTACAGTTTTTTTGCTTCTAACAAGCAGGGTGAAGAGAAAACATTGGAGGAAGATTGCTTCTGTGCTCTTCACTTAACAATATGTTTGTGGCAGCTGTAAATCCTTTGATAGTTTAGATTTTCCTATAATCCTTAGATATCAAATAATTTACCTAAAGGATAAGGTAAATAAATTCCACTCAAACCAATAAATTGGTCCTAATGTAATTTTGTGCTATTGCTGTCAAAATGTAGAGCATTTCTATTTGCCAACTATGCAAATCTTTTTGCTGGAGGCCTTCTCACCAAGGTTCCCCCATCCTTAAATATTTCTAAATGTCTATAAAGCATCTTTTTGTCTAGGGAATTTTTCAACAGTTTTCTACTGATATTTAATGTCAAATACTTGAAAAGATGTGCGATTTGGCTGGGAGAGTATTTTGAATTTGTATTAATTGGAGCTGTTAAATTAAAATATTGTTACTGGAAATTACACTGCTGTAGGCCTATGCCAGTAATGGTAAATTTAAAAGCAAAATATAATAAAGCTGCTGCACCTAATGAGACGTTGGCATTTTTAAACTTGTAATTTTGACATTTGTTTTACAGAAGTGTTTTGCTTCCTTTACTCCACTTGTAGCCTTTTCAAAGTTTCAACAGCAGACTTTCTATGGAACAAGAAAGTAAAATTGCAATGCACTCCTGTCTTTATTCACATAAGTGCCAGCCTGACCATGAGTCTGTGAAGATTTGTGTTAATCTTACTGGTCTTTAATAATTTTATTTTACTTGAATGTGCACTTTTTTTGTCAGTTTGTGCAAACATGCTGCTCTGTTTTTCATTCTTATCTGCCACAATTGCATTATTTAAGTCATGTTAACAGTGGCAATAATTAGTATTACATGCACTAATCCATTAAAAAAGTGGGGGGAACAGGGATCAGAATATAGATAATAATTGACCACTAACTTGAAAATCCAACAATGGATGCCCTTGGCCCCAGTTTTTCATTTGTTATTTTACAAACAAATGTAGGAGGATTAAAATTTTACAAGATTTTTTTCTTATAGCTAAAAAAAATTACGTAACCAAAAATGCATTCTATTTATTTTCATATATATGTTATATGATAGATTTTTTACTTGTTCTATAATTTTTGCAAATTTAATTGTCCAAATTATTGTTCCTTAAAGCTTACATAAATTATTTATTTTCCCTTTTAATTTTGGGAGGGTATGTTACTGAGGTAGTTGACTTGCTCGCCAAGCTGGCTTGTTTTCGTAACATAATCAGTGAGGCCTCCAATGAAGCTAGCATGGTGACGAAACGTCAGAACGAAAACAAGCCAGCTTGGCGAGCAAGTCAACAACCTCAACCACAACCCGAGCTATAAATCCTTGTTGAAACCTTTAAAGGGTATGTTACTACCCAGAATTGTTTATGACAACTGACTGAGTTGACAAATAACTGTATGAATGTGTAAAATGATGGAAACAGACCGCACAAACAGAACATGACACACAACACTAACAAAAGCAATTACAAATTCTGTTCCTTTGTTTAAAACACTGTAAATGTACAAGTATGAAATAAATTTTGTTGCAAATCTGCATTTTGTGTGTTATTTACTGATGTTAATATAAAATTTTACGCAACAAGTATTTTTTTAAAAACCCAGTGAACCTTCTTTGGACAGTATATCTTTCCTTCAATAAGGACTCCAAAACTGTGTTTCGACTGTGATCTGACTAGTGTCTTGTATACTTTTAGCAAAACCTTACTATTTTTATGCTCCATTCCCTTTGAAATAAAGTCCAACATTACATTTGCCTTCCATGTTACCTACTGAATTTAGATGTTAGCTTTTTGTGATTCATGGACGAGGACTTCAAAAAAGATTTCTGTTTTGTAGCTTTCTGCAGTTATTCAGTTTAAATAATATTCTGCTCCTGTGTTCTTCCTGCCAAAGTCATTACATTTTCCTGTATTATGACCACTTGCTTAACTTGTCTATATTCCACTGTAGACTTTGTGACATCCTTACCATTTACCTTCCTACCTATTTTTGTCATCCACAAACTTGACTTATAGAACATACACTTTCCCCTTCTAAGTCATTAATAATTAGGGGCCCAGCACTGATCTGGGTGGCATACCACTAGTTATAGGTGCCATCCTGAAAATGTCCCCTTATCCAACTCACTGTCTTCGGTCATTTAGCCAATCCTCCGTCCGTGCTAATATACTGCCACCTACACCTGGCTTTTAATGTGTGATATTTTATCAAATGCTTTCTGAAAATCCAAATATATTCCATTCAATGCTTTCCCTTTAATCTGCCTGCAACCTCCGATGAATTAAAGTAAATTTGTGAGGTATGATTTACACTTAACGAAGCTATGCTGACTATATTTGATCAAGTATTTCTAAATGCTCTGCTATTACATCCTTTATAATTTAATATTTTCCTAATAACAGACATTAAACTAACTGGCTTATAATTGTTTTTTGTCTCCTTTCTAAATAAAGGTGTTACGTTGGCATTTTCCAATCCTCCAGGACTTTTCCAGAATCTACAGACACCTGAAAGATTACTGTCAGTGCATATCCTATCTCTATAGCTACTTTTTAAGTATCATAGAGTCAATGATTCATACAGCACAAAATAGGCCCTTTGGCCCATCAAGTATGCACCGACAAAACTACGCAAGTCCCACTTTGCAGCATTTGGTCCATGGACCTGTATGTTATGACATTTCAAGTGCTCATTCAATTACTTCTTAAAATGTTGAGGTTTGCAGCCTCTACTACATTCCCAGGCAGTGTATCCCAGGCTCTCACCACCCTCCCATTCCCTCTAAATTTTTCATCTTAAAATTATTCCTTGTTATTGACCCTTCAATTGAGTAGAACTGTTGCTTTCCATGAATCCTAGCCACGACCCTCAATCTTCAATACCTAATGAGGCCCCTGTCAGCCTTCTCTGCAGTGAAGAAAACAACCTGAGCTTATCCGGTGTCTCTTCAAAGCTAAAGCATTCTGTCCCAGGCAATATCCTGGTGGATCTCCTGTGCATCCCTTCTAGTGTAATCACATTCCTCCTATAATATGGAAACTAGAACTGCACACAGTACTCTGGCTGTGGCCTAATCAAATTTTTGTACATCTCCAACACAACCTGACCACTTTTATCATCTCATATCATGAACAATGAAGGCTAGAGCCCCGTATAGTGCCTTAACTACCCTGTTAAAGCATCCTGCTATCTTCAGGATCTGTGGATAAGCACCCGAACATCCTTCTGGTCCTCTGAGCTTTAGTACTCTTGTCTAATTTCAAAGTGCATCACCTCACATTTATCAGGGTTAAATTCCATCTGCCACTGATCTGCCCATCTAACTAATCCATCTATGTCCTCCCTTAACCTAAGAGTTGCTTCATCACTCTCAACCACTAAGCTGGTTCTCATGTCATCCATAAGCTTCCTTATCATCCCTACTACATTTTTATCTATCATTTATGTGTGTGTGTATATATATATGCTGATTCTAATGGTATGCTGCAAGAACATTGCCCTCCAGTCTCATGAATAGCTTTCTACTATGACCCTCTATCTCTTGTCACTAAGCCAATTTTGGATCCAATTCACCATGGTACCTCAGATCCCAAGAGATTTTAGCTTCTTTGTCAGTCTGTCTTGAGGAACTTGTCAAAGGTTGTTGTAGTGGGTGATTTTAAATTCTTCAATATTGACTGAGACTCGCTTCATTCCAGGAGCTTAAATGGGGCAGAATTTGTTAGGCACATCTAGGATGGTCTCTTGAAACAATGTAGCTAGGGAAGGGCCATATTAGACCTTGTATTAGGGAATGAGCCTGGTCAGGTGACTGGATTTTCAGTGGGGGAGCATCTTGGGAACAGTAATCATAATTCTATAACTTTTAAGGTAGTTATGGAAAAGGACGAAAGTGCTAAATTAATAAAGTAGTTTGGGTGAAAGTACTAAATTCCCCAAAGGCCAATTAGAACAGAATTGGGCAGAAACTGGAAAATTTCAATTGGTGGCAGCTGTTTGAAGGTAAATGCAAATTTGATGTGGGAGTCTTTTAAAAGCCAGTTGACCAGAGTTCAGGACCACCGTTCCTGTGATAATGAAAGATCAGGAACGCAAGATTCAGGAATATTGGATGATGAAAGATGTTGTTAGTTTAGAAAAAAGAAAAATGAGGCAAATGTAAGGTTTAGGAAACAGAAATTAAACGAGGTCCTTTAGTAAAAAGGAACCTGAAAAGAACTTATAGAAGAAACTAGGAGGAATAGAAAGGGCCATGAAATGTCCTTGACATGTACGATTAAGGAAAATCCCCTGACGGTTTATACATCCAGAAGTAAGAAGGTAACTAGGGAATGGGCAGGTCCATTCAAGGATAGAGGAGGAAATTTGTGTGTGGAGCCAGAAGAAATGGATGAGATTCTGAATGAGTACTTTGTTTTGGTCTTTGCCAAGGAGAAAGACCTGGATGATGGTAAGATTAGAGATGGGTTTGTTGATGTGCTATCAAAAAAAAAGCATTAAGGTAGATAAGTCTCCAGGGCCTGATAGAATCTCTCCCAGGATACTGAAGGCGGCGAGGGAGGAGATTGCTGGCCAGTGATCTTTAGACACAAGTGAGGTCCCAAAAGACTTGAGAATAGCTGATGTTCCTTTATTGAAGAAGTGCAACAGGGATAATCCAGGAAATTATAGGCCCAGTGAGCCTTTTATCAATGGCAGTGAAATTATTGGAGATGATTCCTAGAGGCAGAATTTATTTGATTTAGAGAAGAATGGACTTATTAGGAATAGTCAGCATAGTTTTATACAGGTGAGGTCTTGTCTCTCAAATTTGAGTTTTTTGAAGAAGTGAAAAAGGTGATTGATGAGGGTAAGGTGGTGGACGTTGTCTACATGTACTTTAGTAAAGCATTTGACAAGGTCCTTGATGGTAGGTTTGTCCAGAAGATCAAATTTCACGGAATCTATGGTGAGTTGGCAAGTTGGATACAGAAGACAGAAGATAATTCTGGAAAGGTGTTTTTCTGAATGATTATCTGTGATGAGTGGTGCTCTGCGAGGATCAGTGCTGGGACATTGTTTGTAATATATATATAAATGATTTGGATGAAAATGCTGGTGGTCCAATTAGCAAGTTTGCACATGGCATGAAAATTGGTGAAGTTGTGGATAGTGAAAAAGGTTACCAAAGGATGCAGCAGCATATGGATTAATTGGAAAGTTGTGTGGAGAATTGGCAGGTAAAGTTTAATCCAGACAATTGTGAGGTGATGCATTTTGGGAGATCAAATGCAAGAGGAAAAATATACTGTAAATAGCCGCACCTTAAGACCATTGATGTAGAGGGATCTTGGGGGCCAAGTCCTTAGGTCCCTGAAAACGGCAACACAAGTGGATAAAATTAAAATGATAAAGAATGCATACAACATGCTTGCCATCATTGATCAGGCCACTGAAACTCAAAGATGGTAAGTCATTTCGCAACTGTATAAGATTTGGTCAGGCTACATTTGGAGCATCTTTTGCAGTTCTGGTCATTAATCTATAGGAAGGACGTGAAGGCTTTGGAGAGGATGCAGAAGAAGTTTATCAGGATGTTGCCTGGATTGTAGTGTATTAGCTATAATGAGAGGTTGGACAAATTTGGACTGTTTTTGCTAGGGTGTCAGAGGCTGACATGACCTGACAGAAGAATATAAAATTGAGAGGTATGGGTCAGGTGGAAATGTCAAATACTAGTGGGTGTAGATTTAAGGTGAGAAGGGGAAAGGTTAAATGAGATGTGAAAGGCAAGTTTATTTTTAATACAGCGATTAGGAGGTCCCTTGAACACTGCCAGGGGTGGTGGTAGATGTAAATGATAGCAAAGTTTAAGAGACGTTTTGTCAGAGATGTGAACAGGCAAGGAATAGAGGGACCATGTGAGTGAAGACGTGACTAGTTTGGAATAGTATCATAATGGGCCAAAGGCCTGTTCCTGTGCTATTCTGTTCTACATTCTAAATTATTTTGGTACCTACATCCTTCTCCTCCAAAGTGAAGACAGATGGAAAGTATTCATTTAACACCTTACCAGTGTCCTCTAGCTCCATCCATAGGTTGCCTCCTTGGGTCCTACTCTTTCCCTAATTATCCTCTTTTCCCTTGGTATATTTGTTGAATTTCATGGGATTCTCCTTAATCTCACCTGACAGTCTTTAGTCATCCTTATTCTTTGCTTTCCTGATTATTTCCTTAAGTTCCCCTTGCACTTTCTATACATGAATATGCAAGGAATAGAGGGATATGGACCAAGAGCAGACAGAAGGGATTATTTTAATTTGGCGTCATGTTCAACACAACATTGTGAACAGAAAGGCCCACTCCAGTGCTGTACAATTCTATGTTCTACTCCATCAGAGCCTCCATTAATTTGCTGTCTTTGTACCTATTGAAAACTTCTTTTCCTTCTTATCCAGTCCTGAATATTTCTACAGATCCAGGGACCTCTAGGCTTGTTGCTCCTACATTTCAACCTAAAGGGAACATATTGGGCATGTACTTCCTGCCATTCAA